TAAAAATAATAATAAAAAAGATATTTATTCATAAATCTCTATTCACTTATTTATATTTTATTTAATTCAAATTATTTTCTTATATTACAATAAATCTTATAAGTGATATAATTATCAAAATACCCCTAATAATAATTGAGTGAAATGCGCATTAATAATACGCACTTCACCCAATTATATCCACATGTCAATGTAAATATTAATACTATCGAATATGAATGTTCAAATTATCAAATTGCTAAGGGTTCAAAAATATGTAAAATTGTCCAAAAATACCTTGAATATAAAAATTAGGATTTAGTAAATCAAATGTCTAAATAATAAGATTTATTAAAATACAACAATATGTTATGGGCTAATTAGAATACAAATACTTGAAGGAGTATTTCCTAATAAATTTCTCTTTAAAAAATGTTATATATCAACAAAATTCAAAATTTAAATTTTATGTGTTTGTAAAATACATCTACAGTGAATTTAATTTACACATTTCAAATTTTGAACGCCATTTAAAAAAATTTCCCTATATGCCTAGCATTGATTCACACAAAATTTATATAGTATGCCTGTTCACTTTCTTTTTTAAAATAATTTTTTTAAATCTCTTTTAATTACTAAAAATATCATTGTTATATTATTCTTGTAAAAAATTATGGAAATATTTAATTAAATGTCTTTTGATTACAACACATAAAATTAAATGTCTTTTAATCTAATATTTAATTCATTTTAATTAAATGCCTTTTAATTATCAAAAAAAATCAAGTTTATATTATTCTTCTAAAAAACTTGTAGAAATATTTACGAAAATATTGTTATGACCTAAAGGCCATAGTTCGGCCCCATGGCCTGCGACCTGAACCTATGAAGCTTTTACTCAACCCAAATTTGCACCCCAGATCAATCCAAACCCATATATCGAGCGGAATAGGCCGACTCAAATAATGCTTGGGTTAGGGCTGCGACTAGGGTTTGAAGCCCGACTTACTAGTCAGGTCGTCGTCAACACCATAGGAATTTTAAAAAATAAAAAATATAAGGCTTAGCCTTAGCCTCGCCCATTGGCCTCATAGTAACTCGGTTTTTACCAAACCCAATGGTAGAACTTAGGTCTATAATTTTGATGGAAAATGTTTGGACCCCTTTGGGATGACTTTCACACCTTCAAAATGATCATGTGTGGGGTTCACTTATGTATATGTAGAGTCCACATCATGAATGGTTTAAATTTGTAAGGATCTTATAAGAGTGAATATCTCAATCATTACTCAATTTTGATTTGCAGGCCTATCCTATCCAATCCAATGCCAACCCTTATGGGTTCGTTTGGAATGTAAGTTGATTTTTTGATTTTTTAATTACTCCCTCTGTCTTAAAATATTAGTCCATTATTTCATCTTTTATTGTCCCAAAATATTAGTCACTTTTCAAAAATTAAGTATAAAAATAATATAAATTTTTTATTTTGCCCTTCTTTTAAATTCATTAACAATATAAAAAGTACAATTATAACATTGATATTTCTCAAAAAATATACTATCAAAGAGTAATTTTGAAAAATCAATTTTTTTAAAGTACAATAATTGTACTACAAAAAAAAAAGTTGAATTTCTCAAAAGAGACCATTACTTTGGGACAGATGGAGTATTTTAATCTAGGACTAAAAAGTCTCATTTGAGATAAGTTTTTTAACTTTTTGACTTTTTTAACTTTTAAAAGAGAAAAAATAAAATAATTATGATTTAGATGTAAATTTTATCTTATTAAGCTAAAAAGTTTATTTTATCTTTTGATATCTAAAATAATCGAAAAGCCAAAAAATTCAACGTGCCAAACAAAGGCTATGTATCATGTCTTTCTTATTTAAAAAAAAAAAAAAATTAGAATAAAATTAATCCTTTTCTTTTTCCCTCCCCTGTACTGCTCCTAAAATATGTTTGCATGAACACTTTCTGCCTGAATTTTAAACAGTAAATGATAGAAAAATCACATTAAAACACTTGCTAAAATTGGATGAAGTAATTATTTTAATTAAAAAATCAGTGATAAAAAAAAAATCGAGTGAAAATTATAAATTATTGCAAAAGTGAAGAAATTATAAATAACATATTTTTCACAAACTATAAAATAAATGCAAAACTTCTCCCCTTTAAAATCTGGTCAACAAAGCATACCAAACAACAACAATGACACGAGTTGAAAAGTCATAAAAGATGGGCAGATTCATTGATTAGTCCGTCCAAAGAGAGAACTTTGGTTTTGTCTGATCTGCAACAATACAATAACATCACTGAGAATAACAAAGACTCATATTTGATGAAAAAGGTCCAAAACTAGTGACTTTCACAAATTATTTTGAAACCTCATTTACTCCTTTGCCTCAACTAGCTCTCTCTCTCTCTCTCTCTCATATTCTTTTTTACCATTTGCACTGCTCTCTTTTTCCTTTTATGGAACTAAACTGTACATGATGAAACTGTAGAATAAGACCCTCCTCTGCAAAAACCAACTTTTTTCAGCTGCATGCACTAATGGCCATCTTTTCTTTTCTTTTCTTTTCTTTCCCATAATTATCTGTTATTCTCTGATTAGAACCCCCAAAAACCCACTATTTTTCAAGTGGCTCCTACTCCAAGGAAATCAATGAAGGCCATTCTGTTCTTCTCTTCATTCCCACCACTCTCATTTTCTCTATAGAGATTATTATTGGCCTGGTTGTTGTTTGCAACAGACTCAGAGGCAGAGACTTCTGAGTTTGAGTCCGAGTTACCAGGTTGGTACACATCCACCACAACATTTGTCATTGGCCCACCATGATAGACCACATTGCCACCACTACAAAACTGGTCAAGTCCCACATTTCCCACTGTTAATACTTGCATCACCGAATGAATTTTATTAACCTACAAAAACCACACAACAAACAATATAGTAACTAATCAGTGAACAATTATTATTTTATATGCGACCCCACCAAGAATAAGCAAAGACCCATTAAAGACAAATCAAAAAATTATAATGCACTTATTTCAATTCAAAATTTTCATGAAATTTTGTAAAAAAATTATGTTTGTGCATTATTTTCAATTAAAATTATTAGAGATAGACGGAAGAGAGGGGGCTAATTACATCCACACTTCTCAAGAACCATTAAGTACATTTTATCACACTAGTTTAAAAATCATATACATTTAAAATCTTCAAACCATATTCACGAGAAATTATTCTGAGGGATTTTTGGAAATGGATTTTTTTTTTTTTAAAAAAAAAAAATTTAATTTTTTTAAATTTAACTTATTTGCGTTTTAGTGAATTTTTTTTAAAGAAATTCAAAAAAATTTCAAATTTCTAAATTCAGCTCACAAGACAGAACCAAAAAATTATAATTATTTTTAAAAAATTTTAAAAAAATCCAAAAATAAAACAGAATAAGTAATCTTTTTTAACTTATTTTCATCTTTAGTAATTTGTATTTTAGAATTTTTCAAAAAATATATATATTTTTTAAATTTATCTCGACAAGACGGATCAAAAAAGTTAAAAATTTTAACATAATTTTTGAAAAAATTCACTAAATTCAAAAAAAAGAAGTGGCTCACTTTTTTTTTCTTTTTTTTTTTTTAGTTGCCAAAATGGCCCTCAATGCTCTTAGACCAAGTTGAGATGATACTCCAAAGTAATAAATTATTGGTCGAACGCCTCGCTGGGAACAGATTTTTTTAGTAATTTTTTGACTTTTTTACTAAAATATAATGTAAAAAAAACTTGTATGTTTGAAAAAATTTTAACTTTTTACGAAAAGATGTGTAAAAAATAAAAAGAATAAAATCTCTGATTTTTTAATATAAGTTATTAACTTTTTGATTATTTAATATTTTTTTAACTTTTTAACTAAAAGAAATACTTGCTAATCGAGTCCTAAATCAAAAACTCATTACTTTTGGGTTGAGTTTTACAAGAAATTTTGGGAAGTGGATTAAAAATGAGTTAAAAATTCCTTCTCATTTAATTCATTTTAGATCACATTTGTTTGTTTTTATTTTTCAGAAAACACTTTTCAAAAAAGTTTACATTCTTATTTTCCGTATTTTTTTGCTTTTATTGAATTTTTTAATATTTTAAACAATTTTTTACCTAACATAAATATACCTAAAGTAAAAAAATTGTAAAAAAAATCTTTTAAAAATTCACTAAATACCAAAAATATAAAAAAAAAATACAAAAATTTAGTATATTTTTTGTATTTTTATGTATTTATTAATTTTTTAAAATATTTTTTTACAAATTTTTTACTTTTTAGATATATCTAACTAAAGTGCATTTAAAAAAATAAAAAAAAATATTTAAAATTTAAAAAATATTCACTAAAAATAAAAGAATACAAAAATCAAAAAACTCAATTTTTAAAAAATTTAATCTAGAAAACTAAAACTAAAGACACTTAATTATCTTTTATATTTTTTATATATTTTTTCAAAAGAAATAAAAACAAAGCCAAAACAGACTAACTTTTAAATATCTTCCCAAAATGCCCCTAAATAATAGGCCACACCCGTAAATAAAATGAAGTAATATTCCAAGAGCCTTTAATAATTTTTTCATATTTCACGCCCTTTTTAGAAAAGGACAATGTTAGGTATCATAAAAAAATCTTTTATAAAAATGATAGTAAAAGATTTGTAACCTTTGAATTACACTTAAGATAAAATACCACATTAATTAAGATAATCTAAAGATCATAAATCTTACATGATCATTTTCATAAAAAAAATTTCTTCGTCCCCAACATTTCTCTTTAAAAAAAGACATTTGCCCATTCTTCTATAATTGAGATTTAAATTTAAAATTTTAAAATTTATGAGTAAAATAATAATTCGCAATTATTAAAGAGATGTTTGAGTAATTAATCCAAGAAAAAAAATCTAAGAATTCAGAATCACGTCACATTACCAAATACAACGCTCCTCGTTCATCAAATGTGTAGACTTCATCCGATAGCCGATAGAGAGTTATATTTAATTCTGTGACAAGATTTTGTGTACGTAAAATTTTAAATAATAAAAAGTAATCATACCCATCTGGAGGCCATAGGGCTGGTGGTGCTGGAGAACTGGACTGACAAGCCTAGAGACAAAACCAAAACCAGGACGCACTATGGTTGAGGAGGGAGTGAGAGAGAGATCAGTGCAAGTTGATCCAGATTCATCAATGTTGGCACTTGAGATAGTTGATTCACTGCATGCATTGTTGAGATGGTTGTTGTAACCATTAATCATTATCATACCATCAAATCCCTTGGGTGAACAAGAAGAGGGCTTCCTCCTCCTATACACGGTGTTTTGCTCTCTGTGCCTCCTTGCCATTATCACATGCCAATGGTTCTTCACTGCATTGTCAGTCCTCCCTGGGAATAGCCTTGCTATCATAGCCCACTTGTTCCCATACATTCTATGTGCAGCCAACAATCTTTCCTCTTCTTCCTCACTGAAAGCCCTCTTGTTTATCCTTGGATCTAACTGGTTAAACCACCTCAATCTGCAACTCTTCCCTACAACCACAAAAAAATAAATAAATAAAACAAAATAAAAAATTAATGGGTTTTTTTCTTAGGACCCCAACAAGGAAAAGAATATGAATTTGTGGACATAAATAATAGGAAGAGATGGATTAATTACCTGATCTTCCTTGAAGTTTCTCAGCAATCAAGTTCCAATTTTGAGGACCATATTGAGTAACAAGTTCTTTCAGCTTGGAATCTTCATGAGGTCTCCAATGTCCTCTGGCACAAAGCTTTGTGCGCCCAAATTTCTTCTCAATACTATCTTCATCATCACCTTGGTCTAAATCAAGCCCATTTCTATCAATCCCACCAGAACCCATATCAGTCCCATCATCTGTTTCGCTTCCTTCCTCCATTGGAGCAAAACACCAAGGTTTGTTCTGAAATGGAGGATTCAGAATCTGATGATACCCATTTCTCTCTCCAAGGTGTTTCATGGAGAGAGAAAGTTGACCGGGGGGAGGTGGAATCAGGAAGTTGATATCCCGGAATCCATTGATATCATGAGCGCCATTACTGTTCATGTGTTGGAGATTCATTTGTAACAGAAAACCCAGATGGAAACAAGAGAGAAAAGGGGAGAAAATGAAGGAAAGTAGAAGAAAACCTCTGATCAGTGATAAAATGCTTGCAAGAAGTGAAAAGAGGGAGCTTTTTACAGAAACAGGGTGTGTTTGGCAGCTGAGAAAATCGGAAAAGAGTAGTGAAGCTGGGATTTCACTTGATTTTCCTTCGATTTCTCTCTGGCAAAGAGAGAGAGAAACAAAAGAAACGATCTCTCAATAAACGTTTAAAGGACAAGAGAACAGGAAAGAGAATGGGTTTTTACTGTGGAAAAAGGGAGAGAGAGAGAGAAAGGAAGAGAGAAAAAAACAAAAAGAAGTGATGAACCCACACGATTCTCTCACACTCTCTCTTTCCACTTCCTCTCTCTCTATATGTATATATAATACTCTCCCTCTGATGTCAGGTCCTTAGTTTGAGACTCATATATAATATATATATATATATTATTTTTGTATATACTTTTTTTTTTATCTCTTTTGTATATACTGTTTTTTTTTATCTCTAGAATAGAGTGTGGGCATGCAACTCGAGACCCGCTCGTGTGGGTTGTGGGAGTCCCTCTGAGCATCTGTTTGGGTTTTGGGAGTTCTCTCTCTATCCTCTCTTCCCTCTCCTCTTCTAGTTCTTTGAGCATCTATTTGTCTGTTTGTAAGCTTTTTTTTTTAATGGAACTGTCTTTCTCTGCTGTTACGTTGTATTTGGTTAGAAATTTAGAGAGAAATTTAAAAAGTGAAATAAAAAAAAAAAGTGAAATGTAAAATATGAATAACATACTCCTTCCGTCCCAAAATATTGGTCCCTTTTGGGGAATTCAACTTTTTTTGGTAGTACACTTATTGCATTTGAAAAAAGTTGATTTTTCAAAATTACCCTTTTGATAGTACATTTTTTGGGAATATCAATGTCATAATTGTACTTTTTAAATTGTTTATTAATTTAAAAGAAGGGCAAAATAGGCAATTTACATTATTTTTGTACTTGATTTATAAAGAGGGACTAATATTTTGGGACAATGAAAAATAGAATAAGGGACTAATATTTTGAGACGGAGGGAGTATATATTTATATTTTATTTAATTATATATATATATATATATATTTTATTCTAATTTCTTTTTGAATTCCCAAATCAAACACAGGTATTAGTGACAAGTGCCGTTGTGTCTAGAGTTACGTCCGTAAATTTTCAAGGCCCGAAGCTTAGTGGTCGACCCTTTAAATTTGAGGTTCGATTACTTAAAATAAATATATTTTTTTATCTTTTAAGAAAAAGATTCCCTCCGTCCCAAAATAATGGTCCTTTTTGGAGAATTCAACTTTTTTTTGTAGTACAATTATTGTACTTTTAAAAAGTTGGTTTTCCAAAATTACCCTTTGATAGTACACTTTTTTGAGAATATCAATGTCATAATTGTACTTTTTATATTATTTATGAATTTAAAAGAAGGGCAAAATGGGAAATTTATATTATTTTTGTACTTGATTTTTGAAGAGGGACTAATATTTTGGGACAATGAAAAATGGAATAAGGGACTAATATTATGGGACGGAGGGAGTATAAAAATATAGAGAGATGATGTGATAGAAAAAAAATAAAAAGATAAAAAGTGTGTATTTATTTAGGATAGCCAAACTTAGCCTAATATAAAAGTTCTTCAGGTCACAAATTATATGAAAACTTGTTTGGAAAGATTTGTTCATACCGTAAAAAGTTATTTTGATGCATGAAACTTATGCCTCGTTTGGAGAGTGGCTATTTTAGTTAAAAAGTCAAAAAATTACTAAAAATTGTCACATCACCTCTCTATTTTTTTTACATCTTTCCGTGAAAAGTCAAAAAATTATTAAAATAGTCTGTTCCCAAACGAGGTCTTAGAATATCTTATAACAAAAAAAAGTTTGTAAATTTCATTATGGATTTTATTTTGATAATTTAAATTACTTTTTGATATATAGATATAGGGGATGTTTGGTATAGATTATGGGAGTAATTATAGCTTATTTTAATTTAGGAATCTGTGTTAGACAATTTTGTGCAGTTTTTACTTACAGTTTTTTAGGTAGAAATAGTTTAAATAAACTGAGAAAAATTGATTATTTAGAAGTTGGAGAAGAAGTGCTTTTGGTTTCTATTTTCTGATTATCAATTTTTAATTTACAATAAATTGCACCAAACAGTACCATATTTTATTTGGGGAAGTAAGTTAAAAGCAATTTTTTAAATTTTTTTATTTTTAAAAAAAGGTGCTAAAAAAGTAGAGTGGTTATGGGCTTGTTTGGTTTATATCTCAAGATATAATTTTTGAAAAAAAAAATGTATAATTTTGTTTGGTTCAAATTTTAAAAAAAAAATTCAAAATCATTTTTTTTCTCCTACACATCAATCAATCACTTTTTCTCTCTCCTCTCTCCTCTCTCCTCTCTTCTTCTCAATCACTTTTTCTCTCACACACATCTACTCAACTACAACAAAATATCAAGTCATCTCAAACTCCCAAACTCTAAAACTATTTTCAAAATATACAACCAAACAAATCAAAAAAAAATTCTAAACTCTTTCTCTAATTTTTTTTTTTTTTTGAGCATTTATCTCAACATTTATCTCAAAACACAAAACCAAAATACACCCATGTGATTTCAAAAAAAAAAAAAACTAATTTTTAACCCAATCACCAAAATAGGCATTATGAAAATTAATAAACTTTATTAGATTTGCTGAAAATATGAATTGTTCCTTGTGGTTCTAAAAATTACATCACATTCTTTAAAATTTATAATTTTATAACAAATAGATACATAATTTAATTAAATTTTGTCTTTTAAAAAAACTGGCAGAAATTGCTTCAAAAATAAGGCTAATTTATAAATAAACTTCTTTAAATTTACTTAAAATATGAATTATTTCCTGTGATTCTAAAATTTACATCGCGCTCCCTTAAAGTTTATAATTTTATAATAAATGGTCCATTTTATTAATAAATCATTAAGTCCATTAACAATTTTTAATGATGTCGTAAATTTATTTTAATTTTTAATTTAGATAATTTTATTAATCTATAAGAGAGCAGATAGAAATTTTATTTTTTTAGTTAGTTTTGTTAAATAAAAAATTTTGATAAAAGGAAATTTTATAATTTTTCAAGTCACAAAAATAATTTGTGTTTTAAGTAAATCTTAGATAGTATATTTGTAATTTGGACTAGGTTTTTTTCTCAGTATAGAAGCGTAGTAATGGCCCTGTTTGGTAGAATTGTGGGAAAGTACTTATAACTTATGCCTTAACAGCTTATAGCTTATAACTATAAACATAAACTGATTTCTGACTTATAAATTAAGCATCTTCTGCCCCACTCAAAGAATAAGCTGATTTCTGACTTACAAAAAGCTATAAACTGCATTGTTAAGTTAAACCAAACACATCAAAATAACTTAAATTAAGCTGAAAGCTGAAATAAGCAACTTTTAAACTGCACCAAACAGGCACAATATCCAGCTGGGTTCCTGCGTTTACTATAATCTCTTTTGGGGACACATCAAATAAACTATTAGTTTATTAATTTATTAGCGTAGGTACAGTATAAACAATGTGAGGATTAAAATATAATTGCAATCTCAATATTATTTTAATTTGATAAATTCACAAATTTATTATAAAATTTTGAAATTCTCATAAAACTCTTCACGAAAACTCGTTTTTGTTTATACAATATATAGCTAGATAGATAGATGTGTCTGGCATACATATAATAATGTTTTTGCTTATATAATTATATGGAAATTGTATGTATGCCCGTAATGTCTAGTGTATTACGGGCATACATACATTGTATGAAAAAATGTGTAAAATATATTGAACAAAAAAGAGAAAATAAAAATAAATAAACAAATAGAGAGAAAAATAAAAATGGGAGAAAATAAGAAAGGGAGGGATGTGGGATCATAGGATCATGGATGGATGGATGAAAAAAGAAAAAAGTAAGAGAGAGAAGCGAAAAAGTAGAAAATGTACATGTAGGACATTTTTTGAAAAATATATCTCATTCATTATTTTATAATTTAAACAGATCTGAGCCATTCAAATGTCCTAGTAGGACAAAAATATGTTGAAGATTCAAAAACCGTCATTCTTTATTAAAATATGTTGAAGATTCATATGAGATCTAAATTTATGAAATCTATCACGTATTTAATATATTTAAAAATAATAATTAATTGTTCAAATTCATTTAATTTGTGGACTATAAAATTCATTAATTTAATTTCCACTACACACGGTAAAATCTGACTCCTAATTCTGGAACGTAGACTTTTCCATATAATATGAATAAAAAATAAGTGAACAAAAAGGAGAAAATAAAAAAAATAAAAAGAAAAAAAAGAGAGAAATGTGGGATCATGGGATTATAAGAGGATGGGTTAGAAAAAGAAAAAGTAAGAGAGAGAAGCGAAAAAATAGAAAATGTGCATGTAAGATATTTTTTAAAAATATATCTTAACCGTTGATTTATAATTTGAATAGATCTGAGCCGTCTAAATGCCCTAGTAGGACAAATGTGTGGAGAACAAATTCAAAAACTATCCTACTTTATTATATAGATTTCTATCACATTATTTATTTATTTATTTTTACACATCTTTTTATAATAAATAAAAAAAATTAAGTAACGTTTGGTAGACTTTTTTAAATATGATTTGATAATGGAGTTGTATTTTAAATTTGTGAGTTTTGGAATTATGATTTAAGTATGAAAAATTTGTTTGATTATGAGTTTTGAAAAGAGTTTTGAATTCAGTTTGAAATGAATGATGTGATATATGATATTTAATTCAAAAACTTACAACTCATAACTAAACACACAATCCAAAATCCTATTCAAAACTCATAAAAAATTTTAAAACATGTCTGAAAATATTTTTTATTTAAAATATAAAAATAACATGTAAAAAAAACGAATACTATTCCAGTCAACCAGGGGACGTCCGGGAGGATGACCAAATTAGCCAAATTTTCTCATCTGAAAATGAGTTTTCAAAAGTAAATGTGAAATTATAATTTAAAAATTCAAAACAAAAACCCCCCACTCAAATCAATGAGGGACAATGTGTTTAAAAAGTTTCTCCAAACATAACATTTGAACCGTTGATTTGTGACCCCTACCTGTAAATAATTGATTAAATATAACAAATTAATCTAATAATTATAATTTACATGATTATATCAAATTTATCATAAAAATATGGAGAATTTTACCATGCGTATCACTTACCAAAAGCACTTTTAGTTACCCTACGGGAAATTATTCAATACTCCCGGAGCACCACGTATCCATACTCCAAACCAATCACCAATCAGTTAGTCACATGCTGTCCCCCGATCTCCAA